AAATCGGTAACACCTATGAATGTGACTGTACACCTGGGTTTGCCGGCACCCAATGTAATGAAAGTAAGGAATTCTTTAAGCTATACAATGTGCATGTTTTTGTACTTCTGTAATTCATTCACCAGTTATAAATTCAGATTTTGTTACAAGATATGTATGTCACTTTTGCAACCAATGATTAAAACTAATTTCAAGTGATCCACAGGATATTAAATCAGCAAAACTTGTTATACCGTTTTAATGTATGTGTATGTCTCCTATGTGAATCTGGGAAAAAATTATCTTTCATGGCATCTTCTGAAGTGACCATACAAGTTGATATTTGGCTGAAGAAAACATTTTCATATTTTTTTAAATATATGTCCATATACTGGATATAAAATCTGCAAATATTTTTTTAATTTTTGACATTGATCAATTCCTACATCTTTTTGTGTAAGCTTCTTTTACTGACATTTCTAAATTTATTGCTTCTCATAGGAGATATTACAATCATGTGTGCAATGAACAGATGTCTCAATGGTGGCATCTGTGTGATTATGAAAGACAACACTGAAGTTTGCTCATGTCAGGTGGGATGGACTGGATCTCGGTGTGAATCAGGTCAGTATGCATTGCAGAATAATAATGTAATTTATCAAATAATAGGTCATAATCGCTGGAGAAGACTCACTGATTGAAATATTAAAATGTTTGTATTCATCTTTATTATACCGTTCTCAGCATAAGTTCATTTCAAATGACAACTCTCAGAATATGCACATACCAAGATACATATATTCATAATTGTTTATTCAGTATCATTGTATAAACAATAAATATCTAAATATATACTAATATGAATTTGTATACAATATAAATAAATGCTTTATTTATGAGGATTTTAAAATATCCCTCAGGTACATTATGAATCAAACATTTGGCTAATAGGAAAAAAAAGAAAAAGTTGGATAATATAAAACGTCTTAGAGTGAATCACTTTTCAATGTATTGTTTTAGATAACCATATATACCTTTATGATTATCTCAATTTTCCATTAACATAAGCAACTTTTTTGATATATATATATTTTGCTTCTCTTTTAGACATTAACGAATGTGAAGAAAATGAACATCTGTGTGTGCATGGTGAATGTCTAAACGCACCAAATGGACAAACTAATTATACATGCAACTGTAAAAATGGCTGGGAAGGCAAATTTTGTCATATTCGTAAGTAATTATTGCTGGGATACTATGTATAGTGTGCTGCTGTCAGACCATTTTACCTATTCTAGTTCATAACTTATTATTGGCCATGTTGCATCAGTTATAAACTTCAATATCAACAATTCGATATGTTAGTTATAAACTTCAATATTACCAATTCGATAGGTTAGTTGCAAACTTCAATATTAATAATTGGATATGTTAGTTGCAAACTTCAATATTAATAATTGGATATGTTAGTTGCAAACTTCAATATTAATAATTGGATATGTTAATTGAAAACTTCAATAATAACAATTCGATATATTAGTTATGAACTCCAATATTACCAATTCGATAGGTTAGTTGCACACTTCAATATTAATAATTGGATATGTTAGTTGTAAACTTCAATATTGATAATTCGATAAGTTAGTTGTAAACTTCAATATTAATAATTGGATATGTTAATTGAAAACTTCAATAATAACAATTCGATACGTTAGTTATAAACTTCAATATTAACAATTCGATATATTAGTTATGAACTTCAATATTAACAATTCGATAGGTTAGTTGCAAACTTCAATATTAATAATTGGATATGTTAATTGAAAACTTCAATATTAACAATTTGATATATTAGTTATGAACTTCAATATTACCAATTGGATAGGTTAGTTGCAAACTTCAATATTAATAATTGGATATGTTAATTGAAAACTTCAATATTACCAATTCGATAGGTTAGTTGCAAACTTCAATATTAATAATTGGATACGTTAGTTGTAAACTTCAATATTGATAATTCGATAAGTTAGTTGTAAACTTCAATATTAACAATTGGATATGTTAGTTGTAAACTTCAATATTAATAATTGGATATGTTAATTGAAAACTTCAATAATAACAATTCGATAGGTTAGTTGCAAACTTCAATATTGACAATTCGATAGGTTAGTTGTAAACTTCAATATTGACAATTCAATACGTTAGTTGTAAACTTCAATAATAACAATTTGATATGTTAGTTGTAAAATTAAGGATTTGATTTATTTTTGCTGCAGCTATCTATGAATGTACATCAAATCCGTGTCGAAATGGGGGCACATGTAAGGATCATGAAGGATATTACGTATGTACTTGTAAAGAGGGGTATTCAGGAGATAATTGCGAACAAGGTGAGTATCACATGACACACTTTTATTTTTAAATGAAAAAAGACTCTGATACAGTGGTTTTGAATATTCTTATATGTGTAAGGGTATTATGAGTGGACTAGAAAGACAATATTTACTACCGATAACACCAATAATGTTTACAGTGAGTGTAAAGTAATATTATGATTGGTAAATCGGCTTTGGAATGAATATCGTTCTGACAAGCCTTGTAAGCCAGACCTTGGTTCCCTCAAAGTGAACAGCATTATTTTTTTTTTTATTGTATTAATTATATATGGGTATGCGAGGCACCAACTTTTGGGGAAAATTGACGTCCGGGAGACCAATTTCACCCCCTGAAACAAATTTTAAAGAAAAAACAATATGAAACATAACTGCACTATTATAAACATCATGCTGTGCTTAACTGTCATTGGTGACTACACAGAGTAGTCATTACACTCTTTCGGTACTGAAATAACATTATATAATCCAAAATGGGGACTCTTGTTTGCCTACATCACGTTGGTCTATTCACTGAGTTAATATTTGGTTAAATTATCACTTTCTATTGCAGTGAATCCACAAGTGATAGATGGCACAGCCAAACCATCTATAGATAGTGTAGGTGGTTTAGAGATGTATTGGTTTATTATCATCATTGTCATTGGTATCCTTCTACTTATATGCCTAACTGTACTCTGTGTGTACACTTGTCCATCTCCCAAGAGTCGAAAATACAAACATACAGTTTAAAGAACGTAATCTAATGATTTCATATCTGTTAATAATTCATGTAATATTAAAACGTGTTAACCAACAAATTGAACCAATAACTTGTCATTTTTAAAGTGTAAGATGCTCTGTTATTGCACATATATAATGAAATACATTACTCGTGGCAGTGTTTTAAATACATTTAAGTACATATGATGTCATGTTTTTTTACTGAATGGGTACAAGTATTTTTTTGTAACTTATATGGTGCATTTGAACACGTAAATAAACTTCCATAAATATTATAAAAGATAACCACCACTAAAAAAAACATTGACACAAACAAGATGAAATTTAATAAATATTCATGAAAATGATGGTGTCTGCAGCAAGCGATGTTAAGTTTCTTTAGAGCGTTTTCAGAAAACTAAACATTTGACCTGAGAATATGTACCATATTTACTCTATTAAACACGCGTCTCATTTAGAAGCAAACAGTTGCATATATTGTATACAGGGCTAGTGAAATATGACTTATTTTGATCATAGACACCTTTTATTTACACATATGCTTCTAATATAGTGAATGCATAGGTACTACAATGATACCATGGCATATCAGAAAACATAGGCTTTTTTTAACTTTAGATTTGTTTTAATTGTTCAGTCTATATATATCTTGTGTTTTTCAGAGTCAGATTGCCAACTGAATTTGAATGTTTTTATTATATTATTGTAACTTTTGTAAAACGTCTTTTTCAACTGAATGCTATTTTTATATTACCGGTACAATTGTAATTGTACTTTTTTATTAATTGGTCATGTGTAATTATTCAATTTGAATAAATAATTCTCATTGTTTTCAAGTGAACTCGTGTGTTTTAATGAATGTGTAATAAAGAGAAAGTAACAAATGTCTAACTGGGGATGCAGAGGTTTGAAGTGAACACATTTTCTCATTGTGTCATGATAGATGGCGCCCTTCGGTACACCTATGCTGGCGTTACCATGATACATTTGATTTCTGCTCTGCTTACGGGTAGTCGTGTTGTTCATTACCTACTACCAATTACTTGCACTACTTTGTATTGTTCAAACAAATAGGATTTTGTTAATGCAAAATCTAGACCACACATGTAAATTTTCATCTCCCTCCTTCAGCACTTTTTCTAGTTATGTCATAACCCATCGGATACTACCACTGCATGCTTTGTATTAATTGTTCAGATTATTGTACGAGCTAGACAAATATTCTCAATCATGAGTAAACCAGCAGGCAAAGCCTTCTAGATCCCAGACTGCAATGTAAAACAAAGTATATTAAGGAAGAAATACGTTAACTCCATATTGGATTTTACAAAGAATTGTGGGATAGAAACAGCTGATTTGACCATGGAAGGTACTAACGTTAGTACCTTCCACGATTTGACATAGGACACGAGATGCGACCCCAAAAAAACGCCCTCTACAGCTCACTTTTCTATAACACTTCTTTGCAAAATCCAATAAGGAGTCAAAAATTTCTTCCCTAGAATGCAATAATCCTCAATTACTATATCCGCATCATAGTTCTGGGAATCATAAACTTACAGAACTTGAGTCTGATTGGCAACACATCCTAACACCTCAAACAGTTAAACCAATCAGAATGCAGCTCGTTTGTTCACACGTTCTTTCAACAAATCAGGTCTTGTATGATTGCTTCGATTCAACTGCAGATTGAAGTTCCACAGAAATTCCTGCATAGTGTAATAATAATATCGAACGTTTGTAATTGATAATGTTGAATGACAGTCAAACATTTCTAAAAGAGTGTACATGTGATTCGTGACTTAATAGGAGGGTCGGCAAGGGGAATTTTCGTAAGCTGTAATACATTGTTTTTATTTTCGTAATAATGTAATTTGAATAAATAAAAAAGTAAATTCGTAGGCATATGCAAGGTGTAAAATGTAATCAACCATTTTATTCGTCCGTAATTTGTAAAGATATTTTTTGTAAGCGTATAAAGCATTTTAAATTAAATGTCATAATTCGTACACAATTTCCAATTTTGATTCTTAAACACAAATTATCACAAATATTATAAAAATGTAATTAGGAATTTTCTTTATCTGTAAAGTGTAAAAACCTATTTTTTACTGTAAATGGAATTTTCATTTTATTTCCTGTAAAACATAAAATGCCGTCACGGTTTTTATTCCTTGTAACCTGTACCATCTATCCCTCTTGTCCCCCCTATAGTAGCATGGCGTATTTCAATCACTTTTTTAAATATTGGGTTTTAAATCAATTATACAAAAGTCCAATGTTTGATTATTTAAGATTTTAGTTATTTGTTTTACTATTGAATGTTCAATAGCAGATAAAAAGTTGTGCTAGGTAGTGTATAAATTTATGGATTCCACGATAGTGAATCAAAGTCGAGCATGTTTAGAACAGCGCATATGTACATGACTCCAGATTCAAGCCTTGTTTGGTACTCTAAAAAGAATATATCAAAGTAAATTTTTCCATGCGCCTACTCACTAATTATTTGTATGTTGGGCAGTCGGTATAATGTATTTAGTACTCAAAACTTTCACAAATTCTGAAATACAAACTACGGTCAAAAAAAAAAAAGCATCGTTGTATTAAGCCACGCACAACTGACACTCTCCATCTACCAAATGTCGATTATTGCACTCTGCGACAGGATCGCAGTGTCACTCTGCGAAGAGCACGATTTCCATTGGTTGGTTGGTCGAAAAGCTCAAATCTCAATGGTCGATCGATGTAAGGGTACACAGCATGCCTTATAGAAATGTTATTTCGCCGACTGCTCGCGAACTACGGCAAACAAGTATTTACCGACGACATGCCGCATGGTTTGGTGATCAGCAAGTATTTAACATTGATAAATTAACATACTAGTATATAACATCCCCCGGAGGGGATGAAAGGGGTTACAAAACACATGCACGTTGGTGTTGGCTGCCTTGTGACGGTGTAACACCAGGGAGCTGAGTTATTTATAGGTCAAAATTTTGACCATTCTCACGTCTTTCTCACGTACGTGAGTTGGGCCGGAAATTGGCCATTGTCACGTAATTACTTTTTCGTGCAGGAGTTTGACAGTTTCCGGTCAGTTCTCACGTGCGTGAGAATGGCTATTTTTTAGTGTGTTCTCACGTGAAAAAGAAACATTGCGTCCCAATCTCACGTGCGT